GCAAGGGCGGAGAGACCTGCAGTGAGAGGAGAGAGTGCGGAGACGAGTTGCGCAAGGATCTTGACAGACCTTGGAGAGAATTGCGAGTAGCGAACTTGAGCGTGAGCGAAGAGAGAGTGAGCAGTCAGTGCTTGAGCGGCCGACGCGCAGTGGCGATTGTGAGAGGGCGAGCGAAAGGGAGAACGTTTGTGTGTGCAGGAAACGCAATGTCGAAGGTTCCCCAGCTGCGAGTGTCTCCCCTCAGGGTGCCGCAGATCGATCTACGCGCATTTCAAGATGTGCTGCTGGGGCTGAAGCTCGATTTCCTCCTGTGGGGGTGGAAGTGGACATGTCCGGAGATGGTGCGCGAGTATCTGCAGGAGAGACACAAGCCCTCACGCGGATTCCGTCCACATCCAGAAAGGTGGGACATTTGTGACTGGGCGCAGGTGTTGGGCAGGTGTGGCGGCGAGGAAGGGTATCTCCTCTTCGAGGCCGATAGCGTGAAGGTGTCCCAGGAGGAAGAAATCTCCTACAATGAGCTCTTCAAAGTTGCCAGGCATCCCAAGAACGGTTTCCGGACACGGGATTACAAAGATCGATTGCGGAGAAATGTCGCGACTGCATTGCTGCAGATATTGCAGCCGACCAAGACCGCTTACATGCATGGTTGGCAGGTAGGATTTGTGGAGCTAGTGTTGTCAAGAGCTCCACTGCATTGGGCACGTCTCCTGTGGAAGTTGACGCGCCAACATGCGCAAGAAGAGAAAGGAGGAACCCTCAATCATCTTTCGCCTTACTTGATTGTGTTTTATCGGGCGATGGGTTGTTTGACAAATTCAGAGCGGACACGGTTTCCGCTGCTGACCCGGAGCTATCCAGGTAGATACTCACGGGAGGCCGAAGTAGACACGGATCCGGACGAGGAACCTGCCAGTCCGCCTCCGGCCCCGGCCCCAGCAAGAGCAGCAGAAGAACGTCGAAGTGAGCGCATTCCGCGAAAGCGGAAGTGGGATGAGAGACCTGAGGACAGGCAGCCGGAAGTGCCAGCTGCGCCAACTCGTAGTCGGCCCACCCACGAGCCTCACAGTCGACCAAAACAGAGGGCACGCAAAATGCCAACTAGTACTGAGGAGACCGGGCGTACTCCAGTCCGGCGGAATCCCACGCAGGAGGAGATAATCGCGCAGATTCTAGGGAAGTCGACAAATACCTCTGCGCAGAAGGCACCAATGCCTTCGGAAGGAGATGGACAGACTAACAGTCGGCCGACTACGAGTCGGGCGACTGAAGGACGACAAGCGGAAGGAAGGCCAACTGAGCGGCGCGTTGAACCGGACAGCAGGCCAGAAGCAGAAGAGAGTTTGGCTGACGAGCCAACAACCCTCAGAGGGGCGTCTTCGGCGGAAGGCACTTCTGGGAAAACGCCACCAGCAAGCAGGCCAAGTGGAGTGAAGACGCGCAGGGTGTATCCGACTCCGAGTCGGACAACTGCTAGTCGGCCGACTGCAAGTCGGTCAACATAGAGTCGGCCGGATTCGCCGACTGCAAGACGGACAAGGCCGGCGACTAGTGTGCGGACGCCTTCGGCGGACGCACCTTCAGCGAAGACACCTTCCGCGCAGATTGCGCCGGAAGGGCAGGCAGCAGAAGCGGGCGGTGCAAGGGTGACAAGAGTCACTGCGGCGTCGACCCCTTCGGAGACCGAAGATCGAGCCGGAACAGGGGCTCAAGCAGTGGGATCCCCCACTGCCCTGGATATTTTAGCAGGCAGTGGTGTGGCAGTCGCAGCGGAAGCTGCTGCGCGCCACAGTTCCAGGGAGTCGCCAAGGGATTCGGTGGCGACTGAAATCCTCGAGACTGAGGATGAGACGAGCTCGGAAGAGCAGGAAGCGGACTCTGTGCAGAAAACGCCAACAGGGGTGTTGTGCGAGCAGATAGTCCCTCTCCTGCGATATCTGGATCGCAAGACATCCAAGTACTCGGGTACTGGAAAACCGCAGTCTTATGTGGAGACTGTCAAGCGCAGGACGAGGAGCAAGGTGGCCACTTGGGCCTCTAGGTGCCAAGTATATGTGGAAAGGAACACCGCCCTCCGACAACACCTGGCGGTCACACAGAAGCTATATCAAGCCTTGCAGCAGCAGAGGGAGGATACGGCGACGAAAAGCCAGGCGGAGGCCGAGCTAATGCGGGCAAAGATCGAGTCAGAATTGCAGGAAGAGCGGAGACAAAACCGCATCCTAGCAGCAGAGCTTGCGCGCCAGACGCGCGCCTTGGAAGAAAGTCAAAGAGCCCGCAAGGAGGATGAGGAGTTGTTGCGCAATTTGCAATCCGAGTGCTCGGATTTGCGGGCGCAGCGTGCGGAAGCGGAAATGCAGCTAGCAGAGGTGGAAGGCAGCTGCCGGGCGCGAGAAGAGTTGGCGACGCGGGTGACTCACTGTCTAAAAGGATACGCCCATTGGGAGGTGGCAGCTCAAGAGAGGATCACACTCAGGGAGTTCGAGCTTCGGGCGGCGGCATTGACGGAGGGTGACAGTCGGAGTCGGCGGCGAGTAGCGAAGAAATTAGAAACCTTCTTGTCGGGTGCGCGCGACACTATGACGCACTTAGAGTCGGAAGTCACTGCAGCCCTCCGACGCCTGGGGTTGCGCAGCCGGTCGGAAGACTGGCAAGGTAGAGACAGCGAGCGGAGCAGTCCGGCGCGTAGGAGGCGCAGCACCGGATCCGCCGAGTGCACTAGTATAGTTTGGTTTCGCGCAGATGTTGCGAGTAGTAGATAGGATAGCGTAGTGTTAGTTAGGACCTTTGAGGGTATAAAGTAGATCAAGGCGTTTTGCCTTGGGACTCTTCCAGTTTCGGAAGTGCAGATCAGGAACTCACTTTCTTGACGTGTTTGTGCATTTTGGTCCTGGCACCACGTAGAGAAGCTGCAGTATAGCGAAGTTACCGTATGTTGTAGTTGAAGGCCTTCGGCTGAATGTTCAGAGCTAGCACCCGGTTAGAGACTTGAGTAGTGCGGATCTGCACCTGCGGGTGATTTCTGATGCTAAGAGCCGGCTGCGAGTTAGAGACTTGAACAGTTCCCCCTTACTCCTTCGAGTGACATATCCTGATTGTACTCCTACGGGAAGTTTCCCCTGAATGCCAAAGTGAAGTTTTATTACTTCGTGTAAGCCTTGGTTTGCAATTCAGGTTGTGTGTGTGTTACTGGATCGTGTCTAAGTTAAGTTCTCAGTCGGGTCTGCACTCCCTGCGTTTGGTGTGAGAGTCGAGGGTGACGTCCACGGCGTATGAAGAGGCTTCGTTCCGAAGTGGGAAGTCCAGTCCGGGTACCCTACGCTAGTTCCTGGCGGAAGGGCAGTAAAAGCCGGAGTGGGAGTCACTACCTGCAGAACCTCTGAGTAAACTTTTGAGACACTTTCCTCCTGAAATCCGAAGCGGAGGTCCTGACCGACCTCCGAGTTGTGCTTTTGCCAATTTCAGGTGTGTGTGTGTGTTGAGTGACTACGCTGTACTGTGCGTCCTCCGAGCATCCTCCGAGTCGAGATCCTCCTCCGAGTCGAGCACTGCAGTATTTCTGGGAGTGACAGTCGCCTGAGAATTCAAACTCTACAAAAGTCTGTTAAACGTGACACTTTTTACTCTGTGTGTTGCCTCTGTCCCTGTGGGTTCGATCTTTTTACCACCATACTGCAGTTTTAGCCTTTGGTGGGTTATTACAACTACTACATCCAAAAATACATAGAGTCATGTAATGAAATCCTACATTATGTCAAAAAAAGCTCATGCGAGTACTCTAGTATAACACTGGCTAACTAATTTACCTCATCATAGTGAGAACAAATATAGATTACTAAGACCCATATTAAATCTAAGAAGCAAGATCCACAATTTGTTTGTTATCTACTAAAAGCTACATGATATGATCACTAGTGTAAACATGAACATGCTTAATGATCTATGGCAGTTAGGTTCTTCAAAGTATCTCCTTATCAACTGGATGTTAACATGGTTACATCTTAATGTGAAAGGATAGAATTATGATCCATAAAAAATCATGAAAGTAACAAGGTTGTGACAAAAGTCTTAAAAACTCTCCAACCTCTTTTAGATGAATGCACGCATTATATTGTTGAAAGCAATCTCAACCTACTTTCTATATAACTTGTTTGAGATGAATATGAGCTCTATTGCCCAAAAGTATTACCTCACAAACTCATGATTTGTCTGAACAAGATTTCTCTAAAATGATGTACGAAACGATACTTATACAGTAGTGAATGTTATCATATGATCACAATACAAGCTATAATTCTTGATAATAGTCTCTCTGTAGTCACATTACTATCCCTAGAAATCTTCTCCATTGCAAAACACCAATCATTAGCTTAAATCTGACTAAATCCGAATAGGATATATTTCGTGCAGGTCAGGCGGCTCCAAAAGATGAAATGAACCTCTAGATAACACAAAAGCAGCAACAATGAAACCATGGAATTCGTCATATGTTTCATACAATTTGCAAAATCAGATTCCTAAACGATCCACTTTTTGAAAATTATTAAAGCCCCAACATCTCGAAACATCCATAAGATTCTACTTATACCTTCATACTCTTTCATGTAGGTTCCATGCTGTCATAATTTATATTGAACTTTTATGATTACGAATTTTCCTTCAATGACGTATATAATAAAATTTATCACGGGCCATCTATCAGAACGCCGATGTCCAATGATTTCAAATAACAAGGAAGTGGAACGACGACTCAAGGTCACCCTCTCTCAGTCCCGGCAACCCTGGCGATCTCACCCAGTCAGCTCAAGTTTCTTTGAATCAAAGAACACGTGCATGCAAATGCTAATGCGCTGGCCTTGATTTAGTCGTTGTTTCCTCGTCCGCTGCAGAGGATGTCACCAAACATGAGAATTATAATGAAGAACTTACGCACATCAGGATCATGAATTTCACATGAGCATGTCAATACCTATTGTTAGTGTTCAAGGCTCACCCCTGATGACATCCGTGGAATTATTCTTTAACTGAGCCTAAGGATACAACGTGACATCCTGGTAAAGAAGATACCGAATCTGTTTACATTCTAGATTTATGGATTCATGCGTGCAATTCATGACCTGCTCTCTCCAGCTCCCTGTTTTTCATCTCCGGAAGAGATGGAATAATTTGGAATGAGCTGGACCGTCTTTCTTTCTCTCCTACTCGAAGAAAAGGTCCAATATTATGAGGTATATAAAGCTCCAAGGTCATTCTCTGAAATCATCCTCTCCCTCCAGCGCTTCACCTATCATCAGAGTCCGCTTTGGATAGGTGAAGCAGCGCTGCAGAGAAGCATTGCTGCTGACACAGAGGTACGGTCAGCAGACATCTCTCGGAATGCTCAATTTCTTTCTTGCACATTCAGTTTTGCTTCTATGTTACAGGTTCACTAGTTTCCATGCCGTTGTTGTAATAATATTCTTCGTAAAAGCACTCAGATCAAGGAAGTTCTCATCTGCGTACAAGTAGCACAGAAAATTGAAGAGTAACTATGCTGCTCATGCTCGCTTACTACATGATTCTGATCATGACCTTGTGTTGAAAGGTTTCCTTTTTGTCATATAGTGGTGGAGATTTTGCATTATCCTACAATAAAGTTCACTTCCAAGTTCCTTGTCTCCTAAAAGTCGAGCATGCAGAGGTATTTGTGTGCTCACGTAGTGATTCCGATGTGATAGGTAGGATAAAAACTAGAGGAAGGAAGCGCGGACAGGAATCATGGCCCAGCTCAGAACGGGAATTATGATTGTGGCTTTTCTGATTGTGCCCTTCTTGCAAACCTTCGAGGCCTTGGATTTCCTTTTCTGGGATGGACCAACGTGCACCGGCTTCGTGCAATCCCTCTGCACCGCCATCAGCAACGACACTTGCTGCGTCGCAGATAATGCCTACCAGTCAGTGCAGGTCCAGGAAGGGGATCCATGCAAATCGGCCACCACCTTCAAAGACGGAGATTGTGCTGCCAATGTCACAGTTACCACAACCACTGGTAATGTATGCTTCGACAGCGGTGGACCCACTTACACCGCGGCTAGCTGGACGCCATTGCCTTGCATTAATGGCACCCCCATCGTAGTTCCCATCAACACGAGCACAAACGGGACGACCGATAATGGGACATTCAATGGAAGTACGCCCACCGTTCGCCGGAGGGCTCTGTTGAGTACTCTTCGTGGGCAGGAGGCCATTCCAGAACGTGATTTAACCAGCCAAGCCCGACCGGATCACAATGTAATCTACTACCGAGAAGGTCCAACGATGGGGATCTGGAGCCTTTCCAGCGATGGTGCTAGTAAAGCGGAGCTTCTGGAGCAACTTTCGAGTGTGCCGGACGAGGACAAAGTGTCCTGGTTGTTCTCTCATGGCGCTACGTACGATGATGCAATGGAAGGAGAGTTGTTGGAGATTGTAGAGGCCTAATGCGTCGACTTCATAGAAGTGTTGCTGATTGATTGCTTCGGCTCAATTTGTAATTGTAGAGGAGGGGTTAATCATCTGATCAGGGGTTATCCGGTCGAGGATTCCAGTAGACAATAAAAGTCGAGGTAGGGTGTTACATCTACCTCAACAGCCGTGCAGGCCTGTACGGTAGCAAAGTTAGGTTACTGCACTTCACCTGGTAATCAGGTCAAACGACACATGAACTGAAATGTATTTCGCCTTGTATTTTGCTATGTACATGAATGGGCCTTAGAGTATAGCATGTGAAAATATAATACTTCAAATTGAAAGAATGTAGCAAAATAGATTTTTGAAGAGATTTCAAGATGTCACCAAATAATAGTATCAATCATCGACAAAAATTATAGAAAGTGTGCATTTATTTTTTTTGGGAATCAAAGAAATAAATGGAGGGATGTATTTCTGCACAATGAGCAGCTATATATTTTGAGAAGAAGTTTTGGTCTTGCTATCATAGAGAGTGAAAATTCAAAATGTATTCAGCGAAAAATCATAACAATCGATCTGAATTATTGATTGACCGCTGGAATGATTCTCTTTGATTCTTTCAATATGTAATCTAGAAAAGTTGGAGCATATAGTTTTTGAAAGTTGTTGCCGATATACTGAATTCTTGATAGATATTGAATGGAGAGCTTACTGACTGAGATCTCCATTCAGATGAGTGTCATTTAGGAGTTTATCGTTGAGAAAATGGAGAGCGGAGACCTCCATTGATTGTAGCTCTCCTAGCTGGAAGCAATCTCTTGAGTATCCAGAGATTGTAAAGGTGGTGAGTACACTGTATAAGCTCTACGTGAGCATGTCGCATCGCAATTTTTCGGAAAAAAGTTTGAGAATTGAAGTTTCATCTCTTGCATGGGGGAGAGAAGACAATACATGTGTGTCAGTGTTCAGTTTAGATTTTGTGCGCCTTTTTTATAAATACGGTTCAAATCTTGGATGGAAGACTTGAAGCTGTGTTAGGTAGCAGTCACGTAGATCTACACGATCTTAGGATATCCTTGTTAACTAATGTTGACTATTTCTTCCTCGAACCGTGAAAATTAATTAGCACACTGATTGATAGTTTTTTTTCTTTTATCTTAAACAAGAGCACGTTTTGGTTAAATTCGTTATATGAAAGAGAGTTTCCGAAACTCTCTGTAATATCGAAAGTAAATCAAAGAGATGTATAAAATAAGTGGCTGTTTTACCTGTACTTTGATCATCAGTGGGTTAGTATAACCATCTTCATAAACTTTCAGTACAATAAAATAAAATAGATCTCATATAAGTTGAATATAGGTAGTCTTAAGTTGATAAGAGAAGAATTACTTCTGAATGTTTTCAAAACTCCATTTGTTCATCAAGATATGGTTGAATGTGTTGGTTTGTTACTTAAAGTTACATGTCGCCAATACGTAGCATCATAGTGATGCATGCTATATTATCAAAGAGCTAAATGTGTGGTGATTGTAAAATTTATTTTATTGTACATTACGCGCACAACAAGCCAAATCAAAGCTTAATGCCACGTTAATTGGGCTTTTTGGTACCTAGAGTATTTCATATAGTAAAGATGGAACCCATGATATAGGGATGGCACGGCTAGCCGATTAAATAGCCGATAAATATTGCCATCTCTATCCGAGGCCGAAAACAAACCGTAGACTAGGACCAAATTTACGTTTTCGGCCGATAATTTCCTCACATTCGGCCTAAATTATCCAATAAAAATTTGATTTCGGCCGAATATATATATTTTTGGTCGACAGCAGACTGCTAGCCAGCTACATTTGAGGCCCAGCCAGCTAGCCGTTTCTATCGGCTAGCCGAAAGTTAGCCACCTACGTGCCCATCCGTACCATGATATCACCTTCCAACGGAGGTCACCTGACTACATTACAGAATTGTGGGTTCGCTCTTTCATACTTTGGCCTAGTGCACACTGGCTAATACAATACAGTGTAAACAAATCTCCAAGCTTTTGTATTTTATTTTCCATCCAAGAGTCTTTGAACTTAATCTTTCACCGGCACCCATCCTTTCTACATGGTTCAGAAAATGAGATATGTTCTTGCATGTAAAAACAAAAGCTAGCAAGGATTGTTCAATGACGTGTGTAAGAACCCACTAAAGTCTAAAACTGCAATATAGTGGTAGAAAGGTCGAACCCACAGGGACAGAGGAACATACAGGGTACAAAGTGTCACGTTTAACAGACTATTGAGGAGTTTGAATTCTCAGGTGACTTTCACTCCTAGAAATACTGCAAGTGTTCACTCGGAGCGCACTCGGAGGTCGCACAGTGCAGCGTAACACACACACACACACACCTAAAACTACAGAAACACAACCCAGAGATCCGTTAGGACCTCTACTCAAGATTTCAGGGGGGAAAAGTCTCTCGAGAGTACACTCAGCGAAGCTGCGGGTAGTGACTCCCAACTCCGGCTTTTACAACACTTCCGCTAGCTTGCTGCTAGCGTAGGAAACCCGGTTTGGACTGCCTACTTCGGATCGAAGTCACTCAGACGCGGTGAACAACACTCTCAACTCACAAAACGCGCAGAGAACACAGGTCCGCACTGAAGGACTCACTGAGAAACATTCCAGTAACACAACAACAGTCTATTGAAGAGTTTGAATTCTCAGGCACTTGTCATTCCCAGAAATACTACAGGGGTTACCCCAAAGGCACCTGCTGCAGCGTAACCTGAATTTACAACCAAGGCTTACACGAAGTAACAAAACTTCACTTTGGCATTCAGGGGAAAAATCCCAAAGGGGTACAATCAGAAACAAACACTCGAAGGGGTAGGGGCGAAACTATTCAAGTATCTAACTAGTCACTGGCTCTGAGCATCGGCAATCACCCGCAGGTGTAGATCCGAACTACTCAAGTCTCTAACCAATGTACTAGCTCTGAACATTCGACCGAAGGCCTTCAGCTACAAAATGCGGAACGCCAAGTTGTAGCTCCTCGTGCGTGGTGACAGAACTAAGGACACAAACACGCAGAGAAAATGAGTTCCTGATCTGCACTTCTGAAATTGGGAAAGAACCCAAGGCAAGACGCCTTGAACTATTTTATACCCTCTAAATCCTAACTAGCACTACACTGCACTACGCTACACGCCTGCACGGAACCACGCTACACTACACTCCGCGGAACCTGTGCTACGTCTCCTGCGTGATGGACTGCCGCGCACTAACTCCCTACCCTGCCAGTCTTCCGCTCGACTGCGCAGTCCTAACCACTGCAACGCCGCGGACACCTCCACCTCGAGGGTGGACATGGTATCCCGCGCCTTCGACAGAAAAGCGTCCAGCTTTTTCGCCACCTTCCGCCGACTCCTGCTGTCGCCTGCCAACAACCCTGCTGCGCGAAGTTCAAACTCACGCAGTGTGAGTTTCTCCTGCGCCGCCACTTCCCAGTGGGCGTAGCCCTAGAGACAGTGGGCGACACGCCTCGCCATCTCCTCCTTCGTGCGATCTGCCTCTCGCCTGCGATCCTCTTCAATTACCACTAACTGCGATTCGGCCTCCGCACGCTGCGCTCTCAATTCACCACACTCTGACTGTAGCCTGCGGATTAAATCCTCATCCGCCTGCCGTGCGAGCTGACACTCCGCCATCAAACGCGTATGTCGCACGAGCTCCTCTGACAGAATCTGATTCTGAGTTTTCTCAAACATCAAATCCGTCGTGGTCTTCACCACATCCTTGGTGAGCTCTTCCAATCTCTCCTTCCTCATCCTGTCGAGGGCGTGCGATTTCCTCACAAGGTTGTACTGACCCCACAAACAGGCATGCTTCTCCCTCAAATCCTTCAATTCCTGGTCCGCCCTAGCTAGTAGCTTGCTAGTGTGGACTTTAGTGCGAGTCCGCCTGCGCACTAATTCGATGTAAGATCCCGACTGGAGTGGATCGGCGTATTTATCTAATTTGCGATCCAAGTACTTCAGCAACGGTATCACCTGCTCAAAGAGCGCCGCCGCCGGCGCTCCAACAATTTCCTCCTCCTCCTCCTCGGTATCCCCGGCTCCCGACATTGCTTCGGTGGAGCCTCCGTCGTCATCATCCGAGTTGAGGATTTCAGTCGCCATTGATTGCGTTGGCGATTGACCCGAGTGGGGCTGCACGTCGTCGACGGGTGCTGCTTGCGAAGGCACCGCCGCAGCCTCGCTGCTCTTCGCCAAAATGTCCAAGGCGGTGGGAATGTGGCCGTGCTACATCCCCGTCGCCCGCTTGGCGGTCTTCGACCGTATCCTCTCTGCCGCTGACGTCCGCCGCCGAAAGCGATCGAGCGGAGGGTGTACGCGCGGGGTTTGATTGCGCATCGCGCACCGAAATTTCGTCCCGAGAACAATCAATCCGCTCCACCGTCAGGTGCTGCTCCCTCGATCGGTCCTGCGCGAGGGCTGTGCCTGGCCTGTGCGTAGACGCAAATGCCGGCGCCTTGTCCGCCGCAGGCGCAGCGCCGAAGGCGTCTATCGCCAAAGGCGACATAGCCGGGGGCCGCTCGCCCGATGTCCCTTGGCCCGTAGGCCCTACCGCCGAAGGCGCATCTACCGGCGGACTACCCGCCGATGGTGCGGCCTCCGCACGCTCCCTGTTCGCATCTCGTTGGCCCGAAGGCCCTGGCGCCGAAGGCGCAAATCGCGGCGCGTTGGGCGCGGGAGGGTCTCGTCCCGAAGGCCCGTGACCCGTAGGCGGATCTTCCGCCGGCTCCTTCCCCTTCCTACGTTGGAACGGGGGTTAATCCTGCCTGTGCGCAGGCGGCATGTGTTGAGGCGACCTGTGCACAGGCGGACTGCTTCTTCCTACGCGTAGGCGTAGGTCCACGTCCGCTTGTGCTCGTCTTTCCGTCGAGGCTCGCCTGTGCGCAGGCGGCACACCCGTCCGCAACGCACGTGGTAACTCCGGAGGCCCTTGGCCCGTAGGCGGCCTCTCGTCCGTCGAAGGTGCAGCGGGGTCCGTTGCTCCTGCAGACGTCCGCGCTCCCTCGTTCTTCTCCGGCGACGCACTTACTTTCTCCGTGGCAATCGTCGCCGTGTCCGCGCTGCTGGCTAGTAACACAAGCCTGCGCGCCTTCTGCTTCGGCCGGCTGCACACTTCGTGCAACGGCCGCTGTCGAATGGGAGCAGTGGGTTCTTGATGCTGCTCCTCTTCGGACTCCTCTCTCCATCGCGGCTTCCGCGGCACTCTTGCTGCAGGAGTATTTCTCCCTTCGTCCCTCCGCCTTGACGGAGTAGAAGTCGGCGACTCCTCTGCATCAGTGCCGACCTCGTTCTCCCGCACATACCTCCCGGGATGGTCGACGGACAACGGCGGAAAACGAGCAAGCTCCGCCGCGGTCAAACAATTTTGCTGCCGATAAAAATTGATGAGGAAAGGAGAGAGATGATTTAGAGTTCCCCCCTTCTCCTCAAAAGCGTGTTGTCGCATCACTCTGTGCAGGATGCTCGCCCAGTGAATTGGAGCTCCCTCGATGATGCATTCCACAAAAGAGACCTGCCACAATGTGATGTAGCAGGCGCGGTGTGGCTGCAGTAATTGCAGCAGCGCCGTAGCCACAGTTCGGCGGAAGCGATCCTTGTAATCGCGGGTCTTGTACCCATTCTTGGTAGACTTCTCCCGCTTGAACAGCTCCACAAATTGCGCCTCGTCCTGCTTAGACACCTTGACACTCTCACTATCAAAGAGGAGGTGCCCTGGGATGCCGGCACACCTTCCCAATGCCTGCGCCCAATCTTGGACTGTCCACCGATCGACATGCGGACGCAATCCGCGCGAAGGTGGACCCTGTGGCTCTAGCCACTCGCGCACCATATCCACACAGATGTAGTTCCATCCTCATAGCAAGAAATCGAGCTTTCTTGCTATGAGCCGCTCCTCATAAGCGCGCAGCCCGTTCTGTGGTAGTCGGAGCGGTAGCATCCGCAATCGGCCTAGTCTCGTCATTGCGTTCTTGGAGTTCGCCTGCTCGCTAATTCTCCTTCCGCTCCGCTCGAACTCCTTGCTTCCTCGGCAAACTCTAATCTCCCTCAATTCCAAATCACGCGCACTCACTTCTCTCTCAATCACCAAGTAATCCTCTGCGCGGCGATGTCGGGAATGCCTAGCAGCTAGCAGATGGACGCGCGCAGCTCGCACTAGAGAATGGAATCGCGAATTCAAGAATGGGACGCTCTCCGTCTCCCGGTCGAAGGTCATGGTCGGCTCTTGCTCGTGAAGGACGACTCAATTGATGGCCGCGCCGGCTCTACGCTAAAACGGTCTCCGCTCTCACGCGCGGCTTCACGCTCCGCCGACGCCGATTTAACTCTCACGCTCGAATTGGTGAATTTGAACTCGGCGAGCGTACTACGCCGCGGACATGGGTGCGCAACGCCAAAGGCGGATTTTCCGCCTTGCGCGGTACACTCGTTCGTACCGCTCTTCAGCCATTCCTCCTCTGCCTCGGCGCTTGTCCGCACATCGGACAAAAGTTCAACTCCCGCTTGTGCACAGGCGCTCGCCTGTGCGCAGGCAAAGTCCGTCCGCGTCGATGCGCTGGCGCGGAAGGCGTTGACTGTGGTCAACCGCCTCTCGCTAGACTGTCCGTCCCTGGTCTCTCCGTCGGCGCTCTCACCGCCGCAACTCCGTCCGACCACGAGAGCATCCATCCGTCCCGTCCGTACAGTCCGTACGGTCCGTACAGATTTTACTATTCTGGCGGCTCCTTGCTCGTCCGCGCCGTTGCGCTGGCGCAGAAGGCGTCGTACAATTTCTACCTCCAAAGGCGCATTTCTAGGGCCGAAGGCGGATTTCCCGCCGACGCCGAAGCGCCTGTGCACAGGCGCACGCCTGTGCGTAGGCGAAGTTTGCGCCTACATCAAAACCCTATTTCGCCTGTGCGCAGGCGAACTTCCTTCGTCCGCGCATCGGACAAAACTTCTTCGCCTATGCGCAGGCGAAAAACTGAGTATCTTACAACCTTCATAACTCCCGGAGTCCTCATCCGTTGTTGGCGTTCTTGGGCTCGTTGGAATCAGCGCGTCGAGCTCTTTCCAACAAGACCCTAACTAGATCGAGGCGTTTGGGGGTTGACCTAATTATGAAGGATTTCCCTACCGCCGAGCGCACGGCGCCGAAGGCGGATTTCGCGCCTTGCGCCGTAGGGATCATACCTTCAGAGCTCGTAGGGAGGGTGGTGCCCTTCCTTGACGCTGCACCCAACTCCTAGATTCTACGAGGTCCCTCGAGAATCTCTGCGATCTTCCGAATTCACTCTATTTTGATGCACCGAAGTCTATTTACATTGTTGCCTTGGTACAGTTTTCCAAAAATGTTTTAATTTCCTCAAAATTACCAAAAGTGGGGTACCACAACATGCAAGAACTATACGTGTTCCGGTTTTTCCGAAATATGCCATGAGAAGTCTGAAAGTGACATTTCATTGCCTACATTTTGTATAAATGTAACTTGAAACTCTTTGAGTTGGAGGTTGCCTACTGCTCAAGTGCGAAATCTACGCATAATTTGGAATCAAGGCCAGCCTCCGTTCGAGGACTTGATTGACTTCTTTCCATGAGTAGGCATGATCCATTATAAGAGAAACATTTGATAAGTACTTGGAGTCTGCAAATTGATTTTAAGCATGTGAATCCACAATGTGAGTAGATTAATGAATTAATAAATTTCATCCACACCCACTGGAGAACCCTCAGGGTTTTTTAGGAGCTAGCAATGAAACACGTGGTGAAACCAAGTTCTGAAGACTCCTCCTAATTCTAGTAAAGTTCCATTCCCGTGGAACTTGGACTGGACCAAGTATGTAACTAAAGTCAATCTCATGTTGAGCAACTTGCTCTCCTTTCCCACATGTTTGTGCTGGTTCGCAGAGTAAGCTCAAAGCAAATGCTTGACGATTCAGAAAGTTTACATCTTTACAATATTATCTCTATGAACAAGGTGAAGCATGCAGCTGAGTAATGTTTTGTGCAGGTGTAGATCGGAAGCTGACATTCTCAGGAATGAGTTCTCGCTGACATGTGCAGATTAGAAATGTAAATCGGGTGGTCTATGAGCACGGCTCAACTGCCCGCAGACACACCGGCAGACCAAAGCAGATGGTTCCGTCGATAATTACAGAAGAGGTGATGAGATTTGCAGATAGCAAGTAGAAACCCCAGAATACACAAAGCTTCCGAGACTGTCCGAGCCTGTATGAGAAGCATGTTCCACTTAAGACCATACCTCGGCAGATGAGACCACGCCGGAAGGAATTGGTCGTGACCGTGGCCTAGGATCTGTTTGTTCTCTGATTGTGTCGAGAAGTGGAGGTATCATCATGTAGATATCGGCAAGTGGTTGGGCAGAACCTTCTACATTGGAGCCGTTTGACCCTGTAGTCCAGACAGAAACCTTGGGTCGCAAGCCTTTAATAGCATCTGCATTTATTGCACCCATCTCCTGATAGACTTTCCGATCGACCATCATGTAATCGTGGAAGCCATGGCGATTCCCGTTGAAAGCAGCCATCATTGTCCGCACGTAATCAGCTTGAGCTTCGGCCATGAGCTGAAGACCTGACAGGTTACCGACGACCAAAACCGTTAGGTGCTCAAACTACCTGCAAATCTAAAGCTGAGAAGAAATCGTAATCTGCACCTGGATCGAGCTCAATGCCAATCTGTACACGTTAGGGACTTGAAACAGCGGAATCCATTTCACAAGCTTGTAAGCGCATCTTAAAGGTAGGAATCGACCTCAAGTGCACATAAACTCAAGAAAATGGTTACATTCTACGGTTAGATGTTTCTTCGCTTCATACAATTCTATGACTGAGAGAAACCAACCGACACAAACATGAAATGCGCAAAGATTTCGAAATTCTCAATATTGAGGATACGAAAACACGCTTCGCCTCACAGCCACCGTCTCGAACTAAGATATGGATGTTGACATACCTTCAGCCTCCTTCTGCTTAGCATACAGCAAGGCATCCGATTCCTTATTTTGACGGTAGAGATGTGCATCGGCTTCTTTCTGAAGACCCTCAGCTTGCGTCTGTCGTTTATACAACTGCGCATCCGCCTCCTTTTGCTGTTTGTAAAATTCTGCGTTTGCTCCCTGCACGCTAACCTCGTAATGCACGGTTGCTTTGGCCACATCGTGACCTCTTAATCTTTCCGTTTCTGCAAGGGCCTTCTTTTGTTCCAGTAGCATGTTCATTTCCGCATCTCTTATTGCAGAGCTTTTCTCTGATTCTATCTGAGCGAGTTTCGCCTGCTTAGTCCATTCTGCCTGTCTCTGAGCAAGGTCAGCATTCGCCTCTGCAACCTCTGCTGCTCTCTTGTTTTCGAAAATTATGGTCTCTGCGTCCACCTATCAGTCAAAAAGTTCACAATTTGGTTCAGTATTGTGAAAGAAAATAACGTTCCAGTAGGCTATGGAGTCATGAGAATCAAAAATTCAACAGCAAAAGAAAGTTGACAATCGAACTCTGCGTATGAATCTTAGATCGATTGCAACCATGCCAGACGTTGCACAAATCAGCAGAGGGAGGGTCAGAATTGACATCTCTTGTAATTAACCTGAAGAACAGTAACGAAGAGGCTAAGTTAGAGTTAGCAAGACCCAATCTTGGACTATCAATACATGATTCGGTTACCTTCACTTCCTGCTGCCTAGCAGCCGCTGATTGGGCCTTGGCGAAAATTTTCGTTTCCGCATTCACTTTAGCTGCATTGCGAAGCGTAAGGCCTTCTCGTTCTTTAGCTCCCTTGTCACCCTTGTATTTTGCCTCGGCCACATCTACCTTAGCCTGATTAGCTGCCTCATGCTGGGTCTTCTGTCCCAAGTACGAGAAGTATTCCTGCCCTGGAATGTCTACCAATTGTTTGATGTTCGCATTGTAGATGTTTAGACCAAATTGATCAAGTTCCACCTGCACTTTATCGAACACTTCCTGTTTGAAGTACTCGGCGCCCTTGAATACCTCTTCCATGGTCATTCCGGCTGCGAGCACACGCGTCTCTCCCTCGATAATCCCTTTCAGTAATTCAGTGACATGTCTGCCCGACATGTCATGAGTTGCAATGAGCTTGGCGTATTTTGTTAAAGACTCCTCGTCATCTCTTGGCCCGATGGTGAACACAGCAGGAAGAGTGAAAGGAAGTTTTTCTATGCTCATTGCCTGAACGTCAAATGTGTAGTTCATAGGACTGATGTCGAACTTCCAGGACGATTGCAAAGGGTAGACCCATCCTTTCTTAGCGAGCTTGACATCATCAATACCCCGTCCAGTTATGACGATATACTCAGAAGGTTTTGCTATGAGGTACGACATTGTGACACCTCTGAAGACACGATTCTTCGTATGAATGTTCTGTCGTCCGAGCACTTCCGTGAAGATCTTCGGTCACGTTGTTATACTCCAAGAGAGATCTCCTTCTGCAAGAAAGTAGAACATGTCAAGGCTAGGCAGGGTTTGCACGGGAATGAGATGTCGGACAACAACCAAGGCAACGCTATGAATTAGTACTCAATCTTATCCCTTATGCTACAAATTCAACCCGTCCATCTGCAGCATGATTGCATCCTCTTCTATGAGAAATACTGAATCGACTACATTGACTCACATTCGTAGATTTTGAATGAATGTAGTCGATTCAGTCTCCTTCTACGACGGTTAAATAAACTAGTACAGATTCTAGTCATTCGCATCTGAATTCTGTCTGGATGTGAGGTCACAGATTTCATCCATTCTCTGACGAGTAAAGACTCATATGACGGTACTCTCCCGAAATTTTGAAAGATGTGACAGTCTTACTTGGAGTTCGAGTGAAACGAAGAACGATGTTACAGTCTTGCCAGCAATCGATTCTCGAGACTCAAACGTTAGTTTATAGAAAATCCGTACAATCTTCCTTCCTGTCTTTCACTCTGAGGGGTTTCCCTCGTGTACAAACGACTGAGACAAGGAAATCCACGACAGTCCTGCAGAGACAAGTACCACTCTGGATCCACTTTCAGGCGATCTTCGGCTTCCCTGCGAAGGCGAAATTCAAGCCCTCGAAGCTGAGTCTGGGCTCCAGAATCCTACAACTTGTTCAACTTCACAATCTCCTGGAAATTCTGCACCAATTGCAGCGGAACTTCGTCGTCCTTCGAGGGGCTCACTTTAGACTCAGTCCCACGATCGTCTACTTTATTAATTCAGGTCCGCTTTCCGAGAGCTCGACGAACGGTCGAGCCTGATCTTTGGCAACCAATGAAGTTCAGAGGACAGCTGACTCGGTGTCTCACGGCGAAGCAGCTCAAGACCGATTCGAGGTACTGTTTATCGCGAATACCAGCTTCGCTACAATGAGAGATTCGGTCGTGCCCACCTTTGCCTGGGTCCACCTCCTTTCCTTTCCTCGGAGGGCGGGCTTTCCCACGTCCAACCCCGGCCCACCTCCAAGTCGTAGCCGTCATCCATCGTCCATGTCACCGCGTGGCCTAGTGCTGAGGATACGGCCAGAGTGCGGACCAGAGCGCAACTCCCTCCATGTTGGAAACAGCAAAATCAAGGTCCTCGTCAAAACCACCAATCAGCTGGATTCGAGCGTTTCAGCACAGAAGATTCCGAAAGGTTAACGATATCCGGCGTGTGCTGGGAATCCCCAGCTCCTTTCCCGGAACTGACCTGCAGCTATATTTATGTGGCGTGTGATATCTTTGTGTGGATAAAGCCAGGAGACCGACGAAATTGGAGACTCTCCCAGTGCACCTCGAACAAATTATTTCTGACATGTGAGACATTGCCTTGAATCATGCCTTCCCGGCATGTGCCTTTTCCCCCTGGATTTTGTGGTATACCTTTTTGGATGCCCGCCGGTTGTAACTTCTGTCACGAGAATGACGGCAACCCCTGAGCTACCACCGCATTTAATATTCCGGGATGTGCTTGTAGAATGCCGTGGGATAAGATTCCTGTCCTGTGTTCGTCGGTCGGATTGCTGTAATTTTATTTTTATCGAAACTTTCATCGTTCATGATCCCATTGGTCTCCAGTCACGAAGACACTCACGTGATGTTCGTTGCCTAACGTATTGTTCCCAGATCTTTGTCGCTAGTACCTGCGAGCATCATGGATTGGTTGATAATGAGCATCCATGGATTGGGCATGCATCACTTATTCATCCCGACGAACAATAATTTACAATACAATAATTTTATAAGAAGACATTTTTCTGAGAATAATTATTTCTTTAAATATATTTCTGACATCATCGAGATTCATTTATTCGATGTACTTCGTTTGAAGAAATCATCAAGAATTAAAATCAGAGTCTCCAAATGCAGCAGGAGGAAAAACATAATACCGTTCTCGTAATCTTCTGCCTGACGAGGTTATTCTTTATATCTCAGTCAGAACTCAAGTCCACAAGTAAAGTTGATCCTGATGTCTTATGAAACCATCTATAAACTTTCTTGCCTATCCGAGAACCGAGGAAAAAGATTATAGTGTACATCAAGTTCTTCTAGAACAAAGCAAAAGGGTTTGATATCATATTTATTTTGTCCAATCAATTTACGTCAACACAAGTTGTGTATACCAAAGTCAACATTACATCTAAAATAGACTACTGTATCAAATATATATGGTGAAGATAGTTACACTACTTCATTCTAATATTATAGACACTAGAACACTTTCTCGTGATAGTCTATCCCGAGCTAAGATAAACTAAGAGATAAACTCTATCCTAGTAGAGTATGTACGATTGTTCATTTTGGAACAATATATCGTAAATATCTATATATCTGTATAACAAATGTAAGCCGTATTGTCTCCGCACATAAGTAACTGGCTCGAAACTTAGAGTCATGTTACCGTTTGGTTTCATTTGGTTCCATTCTCATCATAGGTCTCTCCATTCATTTGTTTTAAATCTTTTAAATGAGAGAATGAATTTTAATTATGATAATTTACAATCATAATTCCGATTATGTTTTTTTTGCGAGGCATAAAAACAAAAGAATGACTTTAGGTAGAAGAGTGACAACTGGCATGATGTTATTTTCATGTTGTCGAACTCCACAACAAAAATACTTCTAGAGTGAAATCTTGCCTCCGTAAGAAACAAGAAAGTTGCAAATATTTCACAGGTCTCACCGTCCACTCGCCGGAACTAGCCAGGACCACTGAGAAGAAGAGAGATTCCGTAGGGAACACCATCGCCGAAGTCGTCCAATCGCCTTAACCAGAGGCTGGAATTTTCATTCGTCCTACCGCTCTTCCGAGCCTCATCATCGTCGGACCTGCCCCCGTGCCTCAAATCGTGGCTGCTGCGTCTTCTCGACGGCCGGAGAAGACTCCTTAATCCAGACCTTCATCGCCAGAGGGTAACGCGAAACCCACCCTCGCTCGCTAAGTCTTCTTCTAGCTTTTGACATGTCTAGGCTGAGAATTCGGAGTGTAATCTTAACCTAACCAGCTCGGTAAGTCAGTAAATGAAGAGAGCTACGAGAGGACTTATACAGACCAGAACGACATGTTGTTGTAAAGGAAGGAGGCACGAGTCATTCTACGACAAAAGCTACTCATCCCCACATATATCGAACTTGCTTTGTCCAAGACATGATTGAAGTCCCTCCCTAAACTCTAACAAAGAAACTTTCCACCCCAATCCGGCGGGACCTGGTGCAGGTCTCTGGATTTCTTTCACTGTACGTCTTTGGACCCAAGAACCAGCGAGAAACAAGTTCTGATTTTCTTTTCTTCCCTCACACATTTTGCTATTTCTGCCAATTGACATTCATGAGCTCTCTGTTGTACTTTCTTGTGCATGGAGCACTCAAGTGGTAGCACCATGCTCAGTGTTCCTGACAGTACAGTACTGTAATCGGGAGCAAGTTTCAACGGACTATGTAACGTAAAGTACACCTTCACGCGGTTGCAATATACCACGTAAAGTTCACCGTACTGTACTCACTTTGGTCTGGATTGCGAACTGGAAACCTGTAAGAATCCAAATTCCCTGCTATCCACTTGAATATGAAGTTGGACGTAGTCCCTACAGTAAATTCAAGTGTGTACAAGTACCTTGTTCTACCCTTGCACTAGGTAATAAAAGTACACCTAAATTCGGATATCTTAGTTGCAATTTAATTGGAAGCATACACAATAGTTAATCGCGTTAATTTTCAAGCAGGGCTCAATAGCGTAACAACGATGAATCCAGTGTTTTTATATTTACTGATATCCATTGTCAATCTAGACTTCGTGATCTTCAAACACAACTAATACATATGATATCGGACATGGTGTATCACACCATACTCTAGAATCCAACGAGGGAGTGAGAAACTAGAACCAGCACAAAAGACAATGTTGGTCACACATGGCACTGCATATATTTAACCCCAACTTTAGATCACAACGCTCTAATTCTCCAACTAGGTGGGGAATAGTAGCTAGCAAACTATTGATTAAATAAAATCCATAGGCTTTTGGTCCCGTGTCATAATCTCTTATTATTAGTTTCTATCGGATGGGTTTAACCCCTAAACCCACATTTTCGATTGTGATAATACCAGGACTGTCACCATCCTACACCTTTCGATTTATAAATGTATAATTAACGGGGTATTGCGTAATTTTTTGTACACTACCCATCCATGATGATGAAAATAAACTGTGCGACAACTTTTAGTACTGTATTACTTTGAATCAAAGAGAATGGCATTATTCTAAAATACACAGCGGTGCATCGCCCTTTCCGTGAAAAGAATTCGAAACATAAAATTCGAGTTCCTTATGCAATGCAGACACATGCAGGCAGGCATAAAAGTCAAGATCCTTATGCGATCCAAAAACATGCGATTCGACGGCTGAGCATAAACTCTTTCGATGTTGATCATAAATTCATGGACTGAAAGAGGATGCTTCAGAAAATCTCTTCAGACACTTTGATCGTTGCTCTTCACGAGCACTTTTTACACGCGTGATGCGCTGAGATGGCGGAAGGCTTGGAAAACAGGAACCGCACTCCCTCTTACGGCTAGTAGAACCTCCTTTTACCATAATTACTCGGTACTCTGAGTTTCACCACGCTAGTAGAACTTTCATATGTCGGCTCTGGTATCTGTTCGCAGTATCTTCGGATCGATCTCTCGCAGACAACTAAAAGCAAGAGAGAAGCCTTGCAAAGCTTGGGATAGCTGGGCGTCAAATGTTTTTCGGAAAGACAAAATCGTGCGAATGACAAGAACTAATCGTCCTCTGCGTAAGCATACAAGAGATGGCGTTGGCATTGAAATCGAGGTTGAGGTTTATCTTAAAAGACAAGACTCGGTCTCGGGTTCAAATTGGTTGACATCGGTTTTGTTCCTGCCAGTCTAATGCTCCATCGGGATTCTGTCCAACGTGGCGAGGAAGTTGCCCACACAAAGCCGTAGGCCCTGCTTGAGTGCGACTGGCGTGACCACTTCAGCTAGTCTGATAGCAGCTTTGGTTTGAAAGTCAACATTGATATGTCAGCCTTGATTTGCAGTGATGGCCGAGTGTCTGTGGATGCGACAACCGCGCTATGAGAAACGAGGAGGTTAATTTATAGTGTTAGAGCCTAGAGGGTGACGATTACTCTACACTTATTCCGGAACATCTTCGTTCACGTATATTCGCCGGCTTTCCTTCCTCACAGTCAGATCCGGCACTGGCCTGCATCGTGCACAGAATCTGGTCATATAGATAATGATCCGGGTTCACATCCGTCACATGGGAGTGGTGTCCCCCAGAGTACTTTTGAGTCCTGGAAAGAAAATGAATCTATTGCTGGTCCTAGCTTCTATTGTCCCGGTCCTTGGTGATCTTCCCGGCCTCTTTTTTCGTCTCCTACTTGCCCCCCATCTGAGCAAACTGCACGCTGTATTGACGCGATGTTGACGAAGTGCGTAGTAATACAGATATATCGTGTCACGGTAGGCCGAGTTTCGACTCACGATGAAGTGATTGATGTCGCGCATTCCCCTATGGACGACCCTAGGCTAAGCTACCATGTCCAGTGGAAACACCGGAAGGGTAAAACTGCGGCATATAGCTACGCTCTTTATTCCTCTGCTGCAGCCATGGCTTTCGTTTGACTGCAATTGGTGCTTAGTGACCCCCGAACAGAGGCTACATTCGACTCTGGTCTTTGGACTCGGTCAACTACTAGATACTTGCACTTTTAATTCGGATAAACCTGATGTAGCTTTTAACACCTTTGTACAGCCGTCGTAGGAAAAGGTGCTATCTATTTGCACTAATCTCCTTCACGGGAATGGCCCCTTCACTACGAAAGGACAAACACGTCAACAGTGTGGATGAGATGTCAACATTTACGCGGAGCTATTTGAATGTTTGATAGACAAAAGGCTTTTATTCATGTGTAGGGCGGATTTTGTATTGACAATTTGGCCTCCGTCAGAATTGAAAATTCCTAAAACCTTCCTCGTACGTCCAGATCCGATTAAAGTCTCCCCAATTTTGTAGGATTCAAGATGAGCGATTTATTGCTGGGGTTGACTGGATCTCGCCAGGATTCCGCTGGAAACCGGCTTTCCAGCCTGAAGGCCCACCCGAACGTGACATCGGTACCTCCTGGTTGCCACCCGGGAGGAGTGCAAGTTAGAACGGCATTCCAGGGTCGTCACGCGCTTTGATCGAGGCCTTTCGTTGTAGCCGTTCTCAGTTCTCAAAATCTTCAAATTGCGCTCAGAACTGATCGGGACGTTATTCTGATGACTTTGACTGCAATAATTACTTCTACTGCTCCTCAACTTCCTTCGCAGTTCTCATTGGCTCTTTCTCCAAGACTCTTCTCCTCCATTTTAGCTCGTATCTTGAGTGCACCTTTTGCAACTCAAACCATATAAACTCCTTCAACATTCACAGTACAGTATCAAACAGCTTACATGCAGTCTAAGCAGATGATCTGGGAACGGTGACAGCCTATAAATTCGAAGATTCTTTCAACTTGTGTGTTTCGATTGATACTGGTGGTCTAGATTCCCAATCCAAACAATTGACAATTCAATTTTTTGATAGTGAACAAGCTTTTCCTTTTTTCTTCTGGACTCCTTTACACCACTCTGGTGAGAGCGGTGAGACCTGCAAACACTTCATCAACACGACCGTCTATCAACAATCTGAACAAAAGCAGTCAGGTGAAGCACCAACCCCAGATTACGATGGGTTTTGCATCTGCAATCTTATCCAAGCATAGCTTCAATGCGTGTTGCTGAAATGTGCTGTTTCTAAGATGTTTAAAAGCGAATGTCGTCTTCCACTTTTCTTCTGGGTCCTTATTTTTGTCATGTCTTGCTCTGTGAATCCCAACTCCTCGGCAGTCATGCTCACCAGCGAGCATCTGACATCGCCCTGGAACAAGTCTCCTTGGAAAGTAGAGTCTAATTCCAACAAACTGCTCTAGCCTGAAAATCTTAGTACAGACAGCATCGCTGGCATCAGAGGACTCGAATTAGGAATTGCTTTATCTTTACTCTTACTGACACAAGGGCATCACTCCTCAAGAGCTCGTCCGTAACAAACCCGATTGGCGTTGTTTCTATTGCAGGCAGTACCAAATTTGCACCTTCGGGCTGCCAACAAGTCCTAGAATCTTGGGAGTGGATTGACAACAATTACAGCAAAGGAAAAAGTTTGAGAAATCCACTTAGGAACAAAGACAGTCACCATGAAGTACATGATCGCAAAGCCGTCCGAGTATCTAATTGTCACTGGCTCGGGTATCACTGACATCAAGCTTGCCAAGAAAGGATGGATATGGCCGATGCAGTCCGCTCGGACCTTCGACATAAGCCCTATGAACTACTCGTTCGATGTTCAAGCTATGAGCATAGAAAAGCTTCCATTTACACTACCTGCAGTTTTTACGATCGGTCCCCGGGATGATGTCGACTCGTTGAAGCGATACGCAAAGCTGATTGCGGCCCATGACATGTCCGGCAGTCATGTCACGGACTTGATAAAGGGAATTGTGGAGGGAGAAACGCGTGTGCTTGCAGCCGGCATGTCCATGGAAGAAGTATTCAAAGGAACGAAGGCCTTCAAGCAAGAGGTTTTCAACAAAGTGCAGCTCGAGCTTGACCAGTTCGGGCTTCACATTTACAATGCCAATATCAAGCAACTCGTCGACATCAAAGGTCACGAGTATTTTTCCTACTTGGGTCAGAAGACCCAACAAGAAGCAGCGAACCAGGCTAAAGTGGACGTCGCAGAGGCGAAGTACAAGGGAGACACAGGAGCGAAAGAACGAGAGGGACTAACGCTCCGAAATAAGGCTAAGGTCGAAGCAGAAACCAAGATCTACACTAAGAATCGTGCTTCCGAGGCCCGACAGCAGGAAGTCAAGGTAAGAAACTTTTCCTTGACTGTGCAGTACAATCTCCGAGCGAACGCATCGACCACTTGTGATCTGTGGATCAGAATGATTTTTTCCTCCTTCAAAGATATCCCTCTCTCTATTGTCGCAAGGATTCCTGTCCTCGAGTTCCATCTCGAATTTCAAGCGACAACAGGTGGAATTTCACCCACCAGTCTTTCATTTGGCTTGTTTGTTATCGACCAAGATGATATAATACTTACTAGACGCGCATTTCACCAGGTCGATGCTGAAACGAAGATCTTTGAAAACTTGCGAGAAGCAGAAGTTGCAGAAGCCAATGCGACATTGGCGGCGCAAAAAGCACAGTGGGAGCAGACCACGAAAATCGCTCAAATCGAAGCTGACAGGACAGCATCTATTCGAGACGCGGAGTTGACGAGGGACTTAGAGAAGAAGAAGGCTCTAGCAGAAACCGAGCGGCTCAGGGGACAAGCACTCGCGAGGGCAACGGTAGACTACGAGGTTAACGTGCAAGCCACGAATGCACAGGCGTACAAGGTGCAGAAGGAGGCGGATGCTATCTTCTACACTCGCTCGACCGAGGCAGAAGGTGTTCAGAAAGAAGCTGATGCCTTCCTCTATCGGCAGCAGAAACAAGCAGACGCTCTTCTCTACGCCAAGGAAAAAGAAGCAGAAGGTAAAGACATTTATTCACGGATTTAGATGCTTTAAGAAATTCAGACTAAACTTCTGTTTCAGATAATGCAAGGCATTCACCATTAGAAACAATCTGACAGATTCAAAATGATCATCCAGCCCGTTTTGCGAAGGAAAGGCAGAAGATTAATTTGAGTATTTGTGGTCCCTGTGCAGGTATTCGCATAATGGCACAAGCTCAAGCAGCTTATGTGACGTCGATGCTTTCAGCCTTCGAAGGAAACGTAGGTGCATTCCACGACTTCTTAATGATCGACCGCAAGGTGTACCAGGAAATGGGCCAGATCAACGCCAACGCCATCAAAGGACTGGAGCCGAAGGTTTCCGTCTGGACTACAGGAAACTCGTCCGCCGATGGCAGCGCTCCAAGCGCAGCTCAACCTATCGCAGACGTGTATCGCATGATTCCTCCTCTCTTCAGTACGATTAAGGAGCAAACGGGCATCAATGGTTTGCCAAACCAAGGCATGCCAACTCTTCATTTCATGCCTCAGAATGGCAACTCAGCCGTCGCAGCAAGAAAATAGAATCAGAATTGGTCAAGCGAGATGCAGTAGATCCACGTGCAGCAGCAATACACGCCCATTGTTACAATTCAGATTCCCAACAAACAACGATCAGAGATGGATTCGATGCACAACCTTACGAGCTTGAAATTACGACCTTCATTGAGTAGGAAAGGGAGGAAACCAGCGTGGAGTTGCACCTCAGCAATGCGGTTTTAGACGACTCAAGACAAATCAATTCGTATGGAACATCCAGATGAAAAGTCACTGTGAAACCTGTAGAAAAGACTAACATTACGTAAACTCGAATACTCGTGTATGATATCTTTAGCATCTCTCGGTGTACATACAAAGCCAGGTTCTTTATCAATTGATTTTGTATTTCAGCTCTGATTCTTCCCTTCACTTCTCTTCTAAGCGTGATACATCCAAGATGTGAAACCTCGTTTTCTCTGGAAATTGATCTCAAGATAAATATGGTCCAAGCAAGTCCAGTTCATCTTGGAACTGAACATTTGGATCGGTTAAGCTGTTGGCTTAGATGAATTATTTAAACAGTCTTTCAACTATGTATGGACGATAGACGATGGTATTGGATTTATGTTTCATTAATAAAGTGAAGGGGTGAAGAAGCTGATGTGAAAAGCTTCGTGTTACGTGAGAATGGTTCATGTTTATACAACAAGGTCCTTCGGAGGCTTTAAGTCAGGGTTGGATATGGCGGAATTTTCAAGTTTATGTCCCTGTGACCATTGCCAGCTAGCTTGCAGTGGAATAGAGCCATGTCGATTTCTTGAAGGCGATCCGGTCGAGCTTGGCTGGTTAAATCGCGTTCTGTAATGGCCTCTTCCTGTGAATACATTTTGATATTGCGCTCTTTATCAGAGCAAGATCAAAACTTCTTCTTAGACTCTTTAGTTGCTAATGAAAGACGCTCATTTTGCAGTAAAACATCCCTCCAATATATTTCCTTTGTTCCAAGAGCAAAAATATAACCTTCATATAATATTTGTGGATGATTGATACTATTATTTGGCGATGGTAATCTTCAATAAGTGTATACTTTGCTACATTCTTTCAATTTAAAGCATTTTATTATTACATGCTAAACTTTATGGTCCACTGATGTACTAGGTGGTATACATGGCACTGCTCACAGCTGGAATCAAGGGTTTCAGGGATATTCTTCAAAGGTGAAAAATTATCATCAATTTTATCATTTGTTTTCTGATAAATTCGTTATTTTTCTGTTCTTCTCAAAACTTCTTTTTTTTTAAAATAGGAAATTAAACAGTGAATTCAGAGCATGATCATAGTTCAACACCATTAATCTAAAATCATACATGAGGAAACTATGGACGGAGAGAAACGTATCGATGTTTCTACGGGGTTTGTAGATGGCGAAATTGACACACTATATACGCATGCTACTCCGGTAACAGCAGAGGGAGCTCCTTCTGTCAAAGAAGGAGCCATCTGTGAGTATACGATCCAATCGAAGATATTTCTTCCAAGGGTCACGATTGTTAAAAATCTGAAACTATAATCTGTTTGACTTCAACGTCATATAAAGAGTTTCTCGATTCAAATGTATCTTGTGGTCCGCCAAGATTTAGAACACTCAACCATGGACCCAACTACATAAAGTATGAATTGACTCTTTATCTGGCAGGTATCTGCATTGTCCTTCCATCCGTATCATAGGAGAATGCAATGCACAATTTATGTGAGTGAATTTGTCTCGATACCATGTGTTCGATAACACTGATATCTCATTTACAATTTCATTTTGCCATAATGCTCTTTTCAGTTCATAAGTCGTTTGACCTTATTCCCAAGTGAAGTGCAGAAACATGATCGTGCTACGGTACAGGCCTGCATGGCTGTTGAGGCAGATGTCACACCCTACCTCGACTTTCATTATCTACTGGAATCCTCGACCGAATAAAAATCAGATAATAAACCCCTCCTCTATAATTACAGGTTGAACCGAAGCAATCAATCAGCAACATCTCTATGAAGTCGACAAATTACGCCTCTACAATCTCCAACAACTCTCCTTCCATTGCATCATCGTACGTAGCGCCATGAGAGAACAACCAGGACACTTTGTCCTCGTCCGGCACACTCGAAAGTTGCTCCAGAAGCTCCGCTTTACTAGCACCACCGCTGGAAAGGCTCCAGATCCCCATCGTTGGACCTTCTCGGTAGTAGATTACATTGTGATCCGGTCGGGCTTGGCTGGTTAAATCACGTTCTGGAATGGCCTCCTGCCCACGAAGAGTACTCAACAGAGCCCTCCGGCGAACGGTGGGCGTACTTCCATTGAATGTCCCATTATCGGTCGTCCCGTTTGTGCTCGTGTTGATGGGAACTACGATGGGGGTGCCATTAATGCAAGGCAAGGGCGTCCAGCTAGCCGCGGTGTAAGTGGGTCCACCGCTGTCGAAGCATACATTACCAGTGGTTGTGGTAACTGTGACATTGGCAGCACAATCTCCGTCTTTGAAGGTGGTGGCCGATTTGCATGGATCCCCTTCCTGGACCTGCACTGACTGGTAGGCATTATCTGCGATGCAGCAAGTGTCGTTGCTGATGGCGGTGCAGAGGGATTGCACGAAGCCGGTGCACGTTGGTCCATCCCAGAAGAGGAAATCCAAGGCCTCGGAGGTTTGCAAGAAGGGCACAATCAGAAAAGCCACAATCATAATTCCCGTTCTGAGCTGTGCCATGATTCCTGCCCGCGCTCCTTCCTCTAGTTTTTATCGTACTATCAAATCGGAAATACTACGTGAGCACACAAATACCTCTGCATGCTCGACTTTTAGGAGACAAGGAACTTGGAAGTGAACTTAATTGTAGGATAATGCAAAATCTCCACCACAATATGACAAAAAGCATTTCGAGAGATGTCTGCTGACCGTACCTCTCCGTCAGCAGCAATGCTTCTCTCCAGCGCTGCTTCACCTATCCAAAGCGGACTCTGATGATAGGTGAAGCGCCGAAGGGAGAGGATGATTTCAGACAACGACCTTCGAGCTTTATATACCTCATAATATTGAACCTTTCCTTCGAGTAGGAAAGAAAGAAAGACGGTCCAGCTCATTCCAAATTATTCCATCTCTTCCGGAGATGAAACACGTGGAGCTGATGATAGCAGGTCATGAATTAAACGCATGAATCCACAAATCTAGAATGTATACAGATTCGGGATCTTCTTTACCAGGATGTCATGTTGTATCCTTAGGCTCAGTCAAATAATAATTCCACGGATGTCGTCAGGGGTGAGCCTTGAGAAAACATTAACAATAGGTACTTACATGCTCATGTGAAATTCATGAAACTGATATGCGTAAGTTCTTCATTATAATTCTCATGTTTGGTGACATCCTCTGCAGCGGACGAGGAAACAACGACTAAATCAAGGCCAGCGCATCTGCATGGAAGTGTTGTATAATCTAGAATAACAGGAGCCGATTTTATAAGATCTCCAGGGTTGCCATGACTGAGAGAGGGTGAGCTTGAGGTTTCATTCCACTTCCTGGTTCTTTGACATCATATATTATCAGAGTTCTGATGAACGTTAATTTATATTGCGTAAATGGTATCTGTGACTTTTAAGCCCACCAAATATCATGTTCACCTTGAATGATACTTTCCTCAACATTTTCAAAGTGTTGGAAATTCAACGAGGTCAAGTTGTCTTCTCGCTTCCTGACACTGAAAAAATATTTTAACTTCTTCATTTCCGATTAGAATCCGTAATCACACAAGATCCATCCCCTGGCCTAGCTCTTCCCATCATTCACTTATTACAACGAAGAAATTACAACTTACATAAATTTCTAGTGTAAGTATATTCAGCTTATATTAGCGCCTTCCAAGAATTAACATCTGAATTCTGATTGAAGAAAAAACATTATTTTTAATCTCTTTTAACCATTTGTATATCCAAATGTTCAACTCATACTCTCCTGGAGTACTTTAAATTTGCCATTTTAGATCCGATGTGAAGATAATATGACATAAAAAATGATTAAATTGCAAAACCATTATAACTGGAAGATGTATGTCTTTCTACATATGAGTTTACTTCATCATTCAATAAAGACGGCGTATAAGATGGAAACACTGAAAGCTTTTGTACTCTAGTATTGGAAAATACAGAACTTTGAAATCAGACAAGATATACTTTGATATGCCATAGGAATGTGTAAAGTCTTTTCTGCAAGTCATAACAATGTGAGGCCTTATTAGAAAAACTAGGAAAACTGCCACAATTCGGTGCCCAATGGCAACATAGAATTCCCTGTGATTCTTCCTTGCTCTGTGTTCTTCACCAGTTTTTTTCATCCATATCGCCTATGGTCTCACTATCGTATAGGAACAAGATATGCTTTCAGAGACACGTTTTTCTCGATCCAATCCATGGTCTTCCGCACTCACTGTAAATTTGGATATCTGTCAAAAGTTATCAATCGGTATTCACGTTGCACAGTTAAACTCGCTCTCTCTACTATTAGTTAATGGCGATATCAACGTTGACATGTTGTTTATTAAGTATGGTTTCTAGTATCACCAAATTAGAGTCGGAACCTACTTTGAGAAAAGTTTGGCAATCTGAATTCTCCGTTCTATCCAGAATATCACTATGTTATGATAAGCGCAGACCCCCATGCCCTGCCCAGATCCAAAGTTTTAGAGTATTCTAAATTCATAGGAAAGATAGAGTTCAGACTTTTCTGGAGATACTAGGAGATAGGATAATCAACATAGACAATTCACGTTTTACACGACTGTTGATCAAGACCAACTTGTGAAGACATTTTCCACCCAGGAATCGCTTCATTTTGATTTTTCCTGCAACGTGTAAGTGGATTATAATTTTTCTTACTTCACAAGCAACATGGGCATTACTTTAAGAACTTCACTGAACACTGATATTCAAAGTTATGTTTGTTGATGTGGTTTTTGCTTAAATTGTCTTTATGAGGGAAGAGAACGAATGCGTGAGTGATATGAGAGACACACTTTTTTTTCTTCAATTCTACTGTGGCAATAGTTGATTTATATATTTATATACATCATTCTCCTGTATTTCATTTTGGCTCGTTCATTCTTCATTTATAATGATAGAAAATTCCACATATTGATGTATTTTAAATATATGTTTTAATTATCTCAAATGATTGCACTTAATTTGACAATATGATATGGATTTTATCTGTTTTTTTAAGTTTTAATCATAATTTTCTTTTTGTTCCATGAGAATTTACTTGGAAAATGAAAAAAGTCATAACATCTGATAAATTGAGATTTTGAAATTTTTTAGCAATCAAAATGAAATTTGTGATCCAGTTTGTAATAAAATTTCTTAAAATTACATTTCAATATAACATAAAAAAATTTTCCGTTTTCAGATAAAATTCTTTATATTCATAAAATTATATACAAAAACTTTAATGTAGCACAAACAGCATTACCTCTACCTTCATTCATCAATGTCATAATAAAAAACATTTGTTGATCTAAGATAACTAAAATTGCTAATCTCTAAAAAATTGTTGAGTTTAAAATCATATATATTTTTTTGAATATTATAATAATAATATTCATATTAGGCATATTTTTTAGTAGTTCAACTTCAAATTTTCCATATTAAACACCAATTTTTCGTATCCAAACCCTCTACTAGTGATTTGAAAAAATTTTCTCCGTTGTTTTTTGGTTTCATCAATAGTCTTATTATTTTATACTTGTCATTTTAGCTTTCACTTTAACAATCTATAAAAAGAGATGATTACACTCTACTTTGCAACAATTTGCAAAGACTTGATTGATGAAATAATTTCTATAAAAAAATCTGTTCAAACTTGGTTGAAATTATTTTTTTTTCTATCTAATTACACTATTTCAAAACATATCATGATAACTATAATGTAATTTATTTTTACTAAAATTAATATTTTTAAATATCAAATAATTTTTCTAAAGATAATTACATGACAACATGCAATTTATTAACTGAAATCTTCTAAAAGCTTTATTTATAAATCTTCAAAAGTAACAATAAGACACCAAGATTTAATTTACTAACTAAAAAAAATGTTGAAATTAACTCTGGTGAAGAAGTAACCTCACGATTAGCTATTTATAGCTAAGATTGGTCGTCGTTGTTGGGTATATATACCTAGGGTTTGTGTATTAACATACGGTACGTAAAGTATACTATCACAATGTTATTTCTTCCGTGGACGTAGCAGTTGAGGGTGAACCACATTATACACTTGTCTTTCTCATATTGGTTGTTACTTTGAATTTATTGTCATTGATGATTCTCAATTTCTATGTTTACAATTGATATCAAAGCTAGCGACCTAGGTCAGATAATGATAGAGTCCAAACGGAAAATCGGAGCGGCGAGCAGACTAGTCGAGCTCCTTCCTTGGAACGGTGGCCAAGCAGCAAGCCTCTTAGCGACAGGGCGGACCAGGGTAGTGCGTGCCAAACCTTGTCCCCCTCAGCCGCGCACATGAGGGCTAGAGGTCCGTGGCAAAGCAACAGTAGTCCCCGCCCGCCGCATGGTAGAGCCTTCCCCATTGGTATTGAGAGTGGTGGCCGGAGCGTCTGTGCGTCGAGCCATCCCCTTCCAGACCGACAAGCTCGAAAGGAGCGAATGCCGAGTGACAACGGCAAGATGGCGGCCAAACAAATCACGTAAGGCGGGCTAAATAGGATTAGTAGAGCAATCGCGGTAGACGTGCTAACCGTGGTCGGCCCAACAAATTTTTGTAGGAAGAGCAACCATGGTCGGTAAGACAAATGGGGTCGACGGTCGCTCAACGGTGACGGCAACGATCGACGGTGATTTTTGATAGATAAAAAACAAACTATGATTGCGAATCGGACAGACATTGTGGGCACCACTGACCAAGACCATCGGAAAGATTTTGGCCATAAAAAAGATTACGTCCAAAAGACTCTGTATATCAAAAAGATTTCATACATCCTATAGAATATTCCATTTGTAAATATTATTCTCAAAAGTTCTTTTTTGGAATGTGAACAAATTGGGTATCGTTAGATAACTGTTGAAGTGATTAGTGGATCTAGAGCTTAAAGATGATCCAAAAGGATAACATTATTCGGGAAGTAACTTTTGTATCTAGATTTTTGATGGATTGAGATACAACGCAATAGATCAAAAAATCTGAAACGACGATATTCATGCTTTGGAAAAATAGTGTTAAAGGCTACAAAATCTAATGGCCTGTGAGTTTTTTCTCAATATAAAAGTTTCTTTCAATGAGGACTTGCTCATTAAAGAGGGAGAGAGTTTTTTAGCTCTCTGGAGTGACAATTGTTAAATATCCACTCACAGACATGATTGTGGGGAAGTTTAATCATTATATAATATGTCATTGCATAGTTGAAGTACATGGAGATATGTTGTTGAGTTATCTCCATATGTTTTTACTCTATATTGTCATGGCTACGGCTTAATTCTAGTTAACTTTTGTTTAAAGAGTGATCTTGTGTTAGTTTTTCATCTGGAATTTTCCGCAGAGTAATAATATAGGTTAGAGTGGTTACTGAGATTCCTTAATACGAACTAAGGGGGGCATTATTGAGTTATTTTTTACTCTATCTTGTTATGGCTACGGCTTAATTCTAGTTAACTCTCGTCTTAAAAAAAACCTTGTGTTAGTTTTACGTCTAGAACTTTTCGCGGAGTAATAATATAGGTTAGAGGGGTTATCAAGATTCTTTAACACGAGTTAAGTTAAAGATTGTTTAGTTATCACTATATATTATTACTCTATTTTGTTATGGCTACGGCTTAGTTCTATTTTACTCTCATTTACACAAGGATCTTGTGTTAGGTTTCCGTCTAAAACTTTCTGTAAAGTAATAATATAGATTAGAGAGATTACTGATATTCCTTAACACAAGTTAAAGTGAAGATTGTTGAGGTTAACTCTGGTTAAAGATTATACTCTCATTTAACCATTTA